GACTGATATGGGGTGTCTCTGGATATCCCGCATTAGTACATGGAGTAGAGGAAGTAATCAGCGCCCGCACAGGTTAAGGCCGGTCAGAAAATTATGACTTTGTACTACAGAGTGGGGTTGCGCGAGCGCAAGATTATAACATCGAAAAATAGCTATCTTGAGACAGTGGCCGAACGTTAGCAACTGGAAGATTAGGAATACTGCGACACACCTCTAGCGCGAAAGGTCCACAACAGAGCCGAAAGAGAGTGCAATATACAGTATTTATAACACAGACACGTCTAATGAATGAGTAATTTGTGTCTTGAGGTCGTGATAAGGGAACGTGAGCGCAAATTGGACGCGATTATGGATTAAGTCCACTAGCTAACTAGGCACCGGTGAGCCGCGTGAAAGTAGAGTATTCTGGGCTCACGAGGATTTAGGATCGTCAAAGATTAAATATTGGTAGTTGGAAGGGTATAGAGCCGACAGAACAAGGGAATGGAACGCGACAGTGTCGGGACGCGCCAAAGCCGCTTGCAGTGACGGTACGTCACGGACTGTGACTTCGGCGTCAAACCGGGCAATCAAGCGCCGGCCTTTTTCTCTTTCCACACTACGAATAGCGTCTAATACTGGCGGCAACGAATCGCCAGAATTATCAGAGCTATTGGGTCTCCGTCTCCGAATTCCAAAATTTTGAGCTTGGTTTTGTACATGTGGTAGAATTCAATGCAATTGGCGATAAATTCAGTCAACAAGAACGAGCTAAAATCAAAACGGAGATGCACTAGCCTGAGTAATTTCCCACAAGTCTCACCTTTTGTGTTCAGAAGTTTACCTTTGACGAACACACGAAAACGACCGTCCGTTGTTGGGGTCTGCAATTGAGGCTGTGCTAGAGCATGTGATCACAATGTTGGCAGCCGCCGATTGCCCACTACCATTGATCAGATCATTGATCATGTCACCTTGAAGATGTCACATGTACTCACAGAAGGTATACTCAGGCTATAGATACCCTCCTTGTTCATCTGCCAAGGAACAATACCAGGGGAGATCATCCCGCTCGGAAGCTGTGAGCTTGGGAATAACACAATTAACCAGTGATCGTAATAGCCTTTCCCCAAATTCAGTGAGAGAACCATACAGAGTGAGTCGCGGAGAATTTGTGCACATCAAATCAAATCAAAATACCGACTTTGAACTCACTGGCTCTAAACGAAATCATCGAGTTAAAAAAAGTATCTAGACCACACTTCACAGCTTCGACGAGATTTGAATCCGCTTCCTTTCTTGGACTCCAAGATTAGACTATAGGACGAGAGTGATCTGCATTGATCTATAAAGCCCTGGGAGGAGAGATCTAGCCTTGGAATAAGCTACAGTGCAAGGAGGGCCAGAAAGACAGGACCAGTCGACATGAAAGAAAAAAAAAACTTCAGGATGGCAGGGAGAAGGCAGTGGATTGAGTCAGTCGTTGGATCGGTGCGCGATGGATGGGGAGGCTGCTGGCCTCCTACCTGCTCCATGCTGAGTCTCTTAAAATCCTCCCATAGACTCAGCAGCGTTTCGGGGAAGCTGTCCGAAGCCCTCCCGACATACAGATTTGTTCAGCACACATTTGAACAAAGAAAGGCTTCATGGAGTAATGTAGATCACTCTTACAACATCGCAAGGTACGAGTGAAGATTTTTGGAGTCTCTTTTTATAAGAGACTAGAGCGGTCTCGTCCTCTACTAAAAACCGCCCCATATGGGTGTTACGAGAAAGATGCTGTCGAATTTGTTTTTGTGCGAGTGCGCCACTATGGCTGCACACAAGCTTGCCACACAGCGATAAGAGCTCTCCAAAATCAGGTTTATAAGGAACAATAGAAGGCATATACGACTCGCGACTCGCGGGACACCAGCCTCAGGCGACGCGACAGGGTGAAATGTGACCGGCCCACGTGCGCGTGACGCGACGCGGTCCGCCAGCGCACTTATCCCGTAGCAGAACATTGGGGCCAGCACGCCAAGAGACCCGTGTTTCAATAATCAACAGGTGCCGTGGGCTACAGACGAATGTAACCCAATGAATTGGAGAAGCGGCGCGATACATGACGAGAAAGGAGTGGTAGTATGGTAGCGGTCTAGCACTCGTTACAGGCAAGGGCAGCCTCCGAATACTCATGAGCATCGCCCGCCGCGGCCGTCAAAATGGGACGAAGAATCAAGGGCATGGCGTCCGGTGGATCGCGGACGCATCACCGAGCCACAAGCTCCCACCACGCCCACTCGCGTCTGACGCGCACCGGCGAGACAGGGCTGGGATGACACAAACGAGACCGACGGCGTCATGGATGAGGGCAAGGGTCTACGGTGGCGAGGGTCTATGGCAGCTTGCTACAACACAGCAGCGAATGCCTCGCGCGCCCGCGAGCCACACGGATCGATGGTGTGCATTGCGCGTGCACGCCCGCCACAGTAGGCCCGCGCCTCGCTATCGAAGCTCCGCATAGTCATCAAAGAGGAGACACGCCCACACGTTGCCCTCGACGCCGCAAATAGCGATCATAGGTATACGCACAGAGGGACGGAATGACGAGACAAGGACCGACGCACCTGGATTAGTCACCATCCTCCGAAACGCAGGATCTGCAAACCGCGTGTGCGTCAGAATGGGAGATACAGAGGAGGGGAGGGGAGTGGGAAGCGTACCGCTCGTCCCGAATCGCCGCCCGCCATCTACTCCATATCCCGCCGCCGTCCTCTGCATCGCATCGATCCCCACGTCTCCCCTCCTGCTCCGGCTCCAGCTCACATGCACCCTCACCACCGCGCACCCGCCCGCCCGCCCGCTCGAACGCGCATCTCCCCGTCTACCCTGCTGCGCCTGCCGTACGCGCACGCGCCCGCCTCCTCGCGACCAGCATCCCGCCCTGCGTAGACCACGCCGATAGCGACCTCCCGCGCAAACGCCAGAGGCCCGGAGGTGTCGGCGTAACGGAGTCGCACGCCACGCCTCCCATATACTTGTCGTCCCGGGCCCCCGCCCCCGCCCCCGCCCCCGCCCCACCTCTGCTGCTGCCCGCTCCAGCTCGTCCCGTTCAGTGCGCGTCGTCCCCGGCCCCACCATCCTCCTCCCCGCGCCACGCTCCTGCTCGCATCCTCCTTCCGCTCGCTTGAACGCGCGGGCTTCTTCTCCTGCTCTCGCGTCTCACCTCGTACCCCGACTCGTACCCCGACTCCCGCTCCTCCTCCTGCGCCCATCGTCCACCCGCGCGCTGCGCGCATCCCCTCCTCCGCGCGCCCCCGCACCGACGCGCAGCACTCATGACGTCCGCCCGTCCGCGCCAGCGGAGAGGCATGGGCCGCATACGCCTCCCCCTTCCCTCCGCATCGCCCGCCAGCTGGGGGCGCAGCGCGTCGGCGCCGATCTGACGAAGAATGCCTCCGCCGATCCACGTCGCGGTCCCCACGAGCCGCAGACGCAGACGCACACTCCGCCTCATTCCGTGCGCTCTCGCCCTCCCCCGCGCTCCTGCCCTCCACGCAGCGCCACCCCATCCTCCCGCCAGCCGGGGAGCACTGCATCCAATGGCGTGCCACTAGCATTGGGGACGTGCTAGCGGGGAAGCAGGACGAGGGGCTGACGACGAGCAAGAGCGAAGAGTACGACGGGCGGTGGCGGGATGAGCACGAGGAGCTGGCGGGACGAGCACGAGGAGCTGACGTATCACGCCGCCTTGAATCCAACGGCATGCGTCCCTCCGCGTGCCTCGAGTGTGTCTCCTGTGAATCCGCCTGTGATGACAGGCGCCGGGTGAGCACCAGCGCGACGGGCGGGACGACTCCGAAGAGAAGGGCTGGAGTCCTACCGTGTCTGCGTCAGCGTGCACTACATATAAAAGCGAGGGACGCACTAGGACTCGGGCGGGAGCAGAGTGACGTGTCTGCCCGGTGCCGCTGAAGGAGGAGCGGTGAATCGCCATATCGCTCGAAGCTTGAAGCTTGAAGGCCGATGTGGATGGATCGGTCTACGTCTGCGTCAGCGTCCGCGAGGGAAAGAGGGTGGCGGACGCACCACTCCTCGTCCTCGTTACTCACGGCGTGTCGAGTCACGGCGAGCACGACGTCTAAAAGGGTCATCCGAGTCGAGCGTAGTCAGGTGGTTTCCCAGGACGTGGAGGACTTTGAGAGAAAGAGTAGGCAATGCGGAGGCAATGTCGGCGCTTCAGCAGATATCCAGCTCTCAGTGGCATGTGCGGTAAGATCGACTGGCGGAACGTTGGAGAGAGAAAGAGACAGAGGCGGCAGCCAATTGATCCGAACTGGACGATCCGACTGATCCGAAATCAATCCTCTTTTCTGAGTCCTTCTCCCTACTGCTCGTCTCTTCTCATTCTCGTTCTAAGCACCTCTGCCTGTGTCTCCGACAACGACCTCACTCCGCCCCCTGGCCAAAGCCGCTCCTTTCTGCCTTTCTAGCTGAACTGTCCTTCCAATTGACTCCTGCGCGCCGCTCCAAGAATCTTGCTGTCCTTGAGTCGATTTCTCCAAGGGCCCACCTCTCCTCTCAAGGCTTCGTGGATCAAGGTAGATCACACTCATCTTACGAACACTGAGCAATGTTAAATGAGAGAAACGCGGGTTCGACTCCCGCCGAAGCCGTGGCGAACCCGCACTATCTGTATAACGCTTTTTGTTTGGGGGCTGCAACTTCTCGGTCCTGCTTACGGCCAATAGTCCCGGACCCGATATTCCGAGCGCCCCTCGCATCTGACATTACTCCAAACCCTCCTCCATTGATCTAGGTGTATGTCCTCAACACTCTCTCCCCCTTGGTTCTCCACTTCCTTCTCACTCCCGTTCGCGCCTTAAAATCCGCCGCTTGCGGCCTTTCTGGGTCAAACAATCCTCTTTGGAATTGACTCCAGCGCCGCTTCAGATCAAAAAAAAAGAGCTTTCTTGTCTGCGGCCGTCCCCGAATCGAGATTCTTTCTCCAAGTATGGGAGCACCTCTATATTCGCCAAGGCTTCGTAGATCAAGGTAGATCGCTCTCTTCCTGTTGTATCAACTAGGAAAGGTACAAGAGAGAATGCGGGTTCGAGTCCCGCCGAAGCCGTGGCACAACTCGGCACTCTTTTTGGGGGCTTCAACTTGGAAATCCTGGGCCTGCTTACACCAATATTCCCGGACCCGATATGCTTAGCGTCCTCGCGTCCGGCATCCCTAGCCTAATCAGTCCACAATGCACATCCTTCCGGAACCTTACATAATTACATGTGCTACGCTTTTTGTGGGCTGCAACTTCTCTGACCAGCCTGTAATATCCCGCCTAATATCATGCCAAGTCGAAATTCCTGGTCTCTTTCGCGCTCGAAAGCCCTCGTCAACACTCCACATCTCTGTCGGGCCTTAAAATGTAGGTGTGGAATTATTCGATGCTTGAGCTCTAGATTTGTTACTCAAGGCTTCGTGGATCAAAGTCGATCCCTCTCATCCTGTACATAGATAATGCTTCGTGTATAAGAGAGAGAAGCGGGTTCGACTCCCCCCGAGGCCATACGTAGTGTACGACAGTCTTTTTTTCCCGCGTCTCACACCCGACATTTCACATCGAAAATCCGGCCCCTCCTCGGCAATCCACTGCCTGATGACTTAACTTAGATGTGGGTATTTATTCGATGTTTGAGCTCTACTACTCAATGCACGTAGACTGCTCCCGTCATGCACCCCGGAGATTTTTGTACAAGCAAGAGAAGCGGGTTCACATCCCGCCGAAGCCGTGAGCCTTTTCCCCACCCTTCCTTCTGCTGCGATGATCTGTTTGTTGCTACGTGGACTTTGCCGACAGGGTTCTGTACCGTCGAGTCGAGATGTGCAACCAACCACCCTCTCCCTCTCCCGCTGTAACTGGTGCAGATGCTCTTCAAACCCTCAAGACGCAGCGGCCTGTGTTGGATGGGGATTTCTTCAAGCTCTCAACCTCAAGCTCTCAGATTTTTTGAGGCTTCGTAGATCAGTCCTGACATCCTTACACTGTATTCCTTCCTTGAGACAGCCCAGACCCGCCCGTCGCTCGCGGAACAACTGCATGCAGGTATTGTGATTCATTGCAGCTATCTGCGCCGCTCTCCAGGTACCGCGTCGCGCTCTGTGTCTATTTTCTCGATTTACTGACTTCTTTAGTATAATATACCCCCCCCCCCCCTCACCACAGCATTCTGTCCTCAAGATCAGATCGGATTTATCGCTTGTGCGCTCTGGGAACCTCGCGACGCAGGTTATATCATCCTTGGGGTCCCACCCGTCCCACGTCGAAGTTAGCTCTTGTGCCCCTAGCCGAATTTTCGAGTTACTGACCCAACACCTTCTCATATTCCTTCCTCGGGATGAATCCGACTCGCCCATCGGCTATATAAAACGTCTCCCTTGGCGTTGATATTTTTCCCATATTTTGCATTCGATCCTGGCCCGGGCCCCGGTTTTGGCAACCTCTGCGCGCATTGTTCTGACCGATCGTTGATACCAACACCTAGTTTACCGACAAGCTGGGTTTTTTCAACACTGTTTTTGCCTCACCTTAAGCCTTAAAACAGAGATAAATCAGGCAACCTGTATTTTCCTGACTCATGCCGCCCATAATCGCCGCGTAACTCTGCCTCGGGCCCTCTCAGCGCGAAAGCATTTTTCAGGGGTACAGTACTTTAACAACAGTTATATAGCTTATCGTAGCACGGGTTCCGGCTAGTCTATTGATTTAAGTGATTTTACTGCGAGTAGAACTATCTCACCGCCATACAAATTGGTGTGTATTTTGGGGTTTCTCGCCCGAGGCTTTTGCAAAAGTTGACGCGAGATGAGGAACTCGAGATCTTTAAATTATCAACACTCGTGGGATTTGTTACAATACCACTCCAATTCAGGAGTCAAGACAAAAATACAGAGTCAATACAAGGCAGCGGGTACAATTAATTGCAATCAGAGCGTGCCGAAGTATTCTATGTGTCGAGCGAGGCGGCGGGTGCGTAGAACGGGATCGCCCTGGGCGGATAGCCCATATCCAGTCAGATATGCGGTAACCTAGACCGGGGTGAGCGCTATTATGTCGTCACTGTTGCGGATGGCGGGGAGGTTGTGCTAGACAAAAACACTCAGGGAAGAAATATTTGTGTAGATCATTGACTTTGACTCACCGGCGCAGCTGTGGGGTCGTCACCACTGGTAAAAGACACAACCTCAGAGGGTGCCTGATGTTCCGTTGCGCATTGTCCGTTAGCGAACTGTTGGTGAAGATTATGAGATACACAATCATGATAAATTTGCATATGTACTTGCTTGAGCTCGGAAAATCGCAAAATTGGTATGGAGGAGATCCAGACTTTGTTTCAAAGGCTGAAAGTGCGCGATATCCCACGCCTGAAACCAAGCGGGCATTGCTCCTGTGCAAAACAAAGTTAGCCGACGAGCTGCATGATGGCATTCTGAGAAATGAGACCTTCCGCGATATCGGACGCAGTGGGATTCGGGAGACCGCCGGGACCTGCAACAGAGGTCGTTGGGACACCAGAATTCGCTTTCGCGCACGTACCATGTTTCGCAGCGGCCGTCAACCCCTGATTGTAGTCATGAGCATTCGTGAGGTCGACAAGGTTCGGGGGGTTTACGGTGGGTGCGGTCGGGGGGAGGAAGCCGTGCGCAGGAAGGCCCGGCGGTACTGGGGAAAGCGGGGGAGGAGCTGCCATTGTGGTTTGACGGGAAAAACATCCGATGTTTAACTCTGTTTATTGATCTGGACACGTGGTTCTTTGTGATAGATTCATTGGTGACTCCGCAGTTCCTTTTGAGGAGGTTCACAAACAGAACTTTAGTTCACAAACAGAAACGTTAGTTTCTGATTGTGCTCAGTGTACCAAAAATGTTGCCAATCAGCTTATATAATCGTGCACTTAGTCATGGTTGATCTCGTGACTATCTCAAGAGTCAATTCTCTCTTCCGCTCTCTCTAGTCAAGCTGTCCCTGTCCTGTCCAATTTTTTTGAGTCAGCGAACTCATTCTGATCTCTAACTGACCCAAATCCTGGTGCCCACCCTTCCAAACGGAAAATCAACTAGACAGACTTCAAGTTCAAGTTTCCATAAGCCGCTGTCAGCGCCGCGGAAAGCAACTATATCTCGGCATTGTTTGTATCATTTCTTCCCTTCCGCAAATTTTATTTCTTCGGCACGGACTCAAATCACTCCGTGGGAAGTGCCATGATCTTAGATCTCAGCCTCAATTGAGTCAACTCTGAGCTCTACCCAGGGCTCATTGCGCCAAGGACGGAGGCAGGGTGCTTATGTTGCATCCCACATAATTTCTGCTGGTCTACCTTGTATCCAAGTTGCTCATTTGTCACAAATTTCCTTGCAAGAGTATTCAAATTTCACAGCGAGACAACTGAACCCGATGGATCGTTGAACAGTCTGTCTGGAACAAAATAAAAGCTGCTCACTCTTCATTAGCACTTAATGTACTGAAAACAATTCATTCCAACTTCTGCTTGTGACCCGCCGCTTGCCGGCCATTCACTTTCATTGTACTCAGTGTACCAAAAGTGTCTCCAATCAGCTTATATAAGCTGCACTTCTCACATGACCAAGTTTGAGCGCTAATCAGAATTTAGGCGCTTCGGTTCTCACTCGCAGCTCTCAGCTGCTCTCTATGTTTCCTCTACGTGTCCGAGGTTGCTCGGTCCTGTACAAGTCCCTGTATGCATTTTGATCTCTAGCCGAATCCTCTGGAAAGCACCGGAAAGCACCCCTCAACTTGTAGCAACGGACAGTTGGAAACGGAAAACCGACCAGACACTCTTCAAATCATCGCGGATCCCTTTCAAAATCGTTCCTATAATTTCGCATGTCTTGCTGATACATCACTTCGGCATTATCTACATCCCAATTCAACATGGGAGATAATCCAAGTTGGACTGGTGTGTCAGTCTCAACCCTGAGCTTGAGCCAATGCTCGTTGCGCCATGGGACTGCCAGTGAGGCAGCACGCCTACTGTAGTAGGGAGCTTGTGCCAAAGCGGCATGCCGCTTTTGTGCATTGTACCAAAGCGGTGATAAGCTGGCTAAGTGAACACGCGTGAAATCTTTCAATTTTACATCACTTAGTCGCCGTCACTGGCTATAAACTAAGCTATTACACCGTCTCAGAGGGCTGGTGTTGAGCTCCGAGCAACCAGTTAAGGATATAAGTGCATGCTAAAGCCAGTAGCTTGTTCTAGATAACGGCCACCACAAAGGGCTCGAGTCTGGGGAAGCCACGAACCTATAGCTAAAGGGTCACTTTACCATTCTCAAACGGAATTGGAGTACTCTGTGCGCTGTTCAAAGTCAGGATATATAAGAGCCGTCTAGACTACGACTATGCGACACTGGGGAATCACTATTGAAGATTAGATTACATTCGACGGACGATAGTACAAGCGGCGGGAGATCCCGGCGGCGGCCGTAAAAAGCATTGATGACTCACCGGACCGGAACTATAACCGGTTCCGCGGGTGATCGATGGGATCCCACGCTTGGCAGCGGTTGAGGGCTTCTACGATCGAGCTCGATCGTTCTGTGAAATACAGAACAATCAAAAAGGCACGGAACGGGCAGAGGGTGCTGCACGTCGGCCAGGAATAGAGATGAAGCGGCAGTGACCAAGCTTAGGCGAGGTCTAGGCCAGGACAGGAACCAAGGAAGCTGATGGCATCACGGATATGTCGGGTCTTTCGATCACGACCGATCGTTTATGCAGGAAATATACCAATGTATTTGAAACTAACCTTTTACAGCCTGCTTTCGTGACCATAAATCATATAAAGCTCCACAGCCCTGGTCATAGGGCATGACTCATTTTATTGTTTGTTTGTTTGTAAGCGTCCGTATATAGATTCTTGGGTTTGTATAAATAGCAGTAGAATAGCAGTAGTTCGGGAGTGGATTCACCCCTCTCCTATCGCAAGTGTAGCTATTACAGCCTGCACGATATTAGGAAAGACTTGAATTCGTTCGGAGTACCACTGAGAAATAATAATTGTTTTTCCGCTTGATATTTCGTTGTTTACTTGAGAATCATTGAACCGG